GGGGCCTGCGGGGGCCCTTCAGGGGTGGGGAGAGGGTACCTGCAGCCCGGACTAGCAGAGCCAGTGGGGTGTAACCCCCCCCCCATCTTCGCTGCCCCACGGGCCTGCAGGCCTGCCCGGCGCCACCGCGGAGCCAAGCCCACCTGGCAGGACTAGCAGAGCCAGTGGGGTGTAACCCCCCCCCCATCTTCGCTGCCCCACGGGCCTGCAGGCCTGCCCGGCGCCACCGCGGAGCCAAGCCCACCTGGCAGTGAGCAGGAGTCTCTTGTGCTGGTCCACGGCCATGGCGCCGATGTACTCCTCGTGCTGGCGCAGGTCCATGACGGCGGCACCCCGGCGCAGGTCCCACAGCCTCAGCGTGCCGCCCTCGTCCCCCGTGGCGAGCAGCTGCTCGTCCAGCACCAGCAGGCTGTTCAGGGCCACGCTGCGGAGACCCCGCCCCGGGCACCCGCCTGGCACAGAGACCTGGTTGCCCGAGGGGCCTCGCGGACGCTCCCGCTGTGCCCCGGGGAGAGGGCAGCTCTCACCACGGTACCCAGCCCGGGCGGCGTTGCGGCAGGGCTCCCCCAGCACGCCGGGCGCTCCTCAGGTGCGGGAGCATGGAAGGAGCCATCCTCGGGAGCAGGGAGCTCTGGGCCCTCTCGGCCGAGCCATCTGGAGAGCACAGCGCCTCCCATCAGCATGGCAGGACGCTCCCGCTGTGCCCCGGGGAGAGGGCAGCTCTCACCACGGTACCCAGCCCGGGCGGCGTTGCGGCAGGGCTCCCCCAGCACGCCGGGCGCTCCTCAGGTGCGGGAGCATGGAAGGAGCCATCCTCGGGAGCAGGGAGCTCTGGGCCCTCTCGGCCGAGCCATCTGGAGAGCACAGCGCCTCCCATCAGCATGGCAGTGAGACGGGGACAGATTCCCCCCTGCCCACCCCACACGCGGCCCAGCCCGCACAGGGCAGCGCCGCGTGTTCACGGACGGGCACAGGGGACGGAGCGCACGGGACCCCAGCTTCCTGCCCCGGTGGAAATGTGGAGCCAAAGCTAGCTCAGGAGGAACCACGCCCTGCTCTCCGGAGCGTGGGGAGTCGGTTCCCAGGGGCCCTCGCTGTGCTGGGGGGTCTGGGGCACAGAGCCCCCTGCAGACACGCACCTGTGGGCCTTGGAGAAGCGCGTCACCAGCCGGCCCTGCTCCACGCTCAGGACGTGGATGGCTTTGTCCTTGGACACGGTGAAGAGCTCTGTGGACAAGACACTCCGTGTACACTCAGCCCCCTGGCAGGGACCCACTGCCCTGCCCTGAGCCCCCCCGCCGCCCCAGGCTCTCGGCACCCCAGCCCAGCCGGTCGCGGGGTTCCCGTCCGGACACTGGGAGCTCAGCGCGTGGACTGGGCCGAGCAGAGCCAGGCCGGCTCAGCACGTGCCTGCACGACGTCTCGGCCAAGCCGGCGTGCTCCTCCCCATGCCGCACGGCTGAGACCTGGCCAGGGTGCAAGCAGAGGGGCTGCCCCACGCTGGGCAGAGAACGGCTCCCTGCTGGCTGGCCTGCACCCCCACCCCGCCCCAGCGAGACACCGGGTGGGGAGAGGAGGTCACTCACTGTGTCCGTCGTGGGAAAAGGCCACCTCCCGGCAGGATTTCAGGTGGTGTCCTGAGGACCAGAGCTCCCGGTTCCCCCCCTCCAGGAAGGAGAGCGAATACCTGAACGCAAGCAGCTGGGTTAAGGGGTACCCGGGGGGACTCGCTCCCTGTCACGCCAAACGCACATTCAGATCCTCAGCTGGGGGCCCTGGGGCAGGCCTGGGGAGGTCTGTGCCTGAGGGGGCTTTCCTGATGCAGGCCTGGAGAAGGACGGGACCTGCAGGGGCGCTGCCCGCTCCCCGGGGTGGAGGGGAAACAGGAGCCAGAGCTCGGAGGGGCTGGACTCACACGGAAGAACAAGGACCCGGATGGAGCAGGAGCCCCAGCGGTGCTATGGAGGCTCAGCCCCCCCCAGGGAGAGCCCTGCTCCCACCCCTCACTGCCAGCAAGTCATGGACAGGTCAAAGCATGGCCCCACGGCCGCTCCATGGCTTGTGCTACATCCCTGTCTCAGTCTGCGGGGCTCGGGGGGGGAGGCCCCAGAACCCGCGGCACTGCCGCTGCTGGGGGGCACAGCCCCCAGAACCGCTGCCACTGCTGCTTGGGGCTGGTGCAGGGCCTTGGAGTGGGGTGCCAGGGAGGTCATGGGATCGGGGACCCCCGTGGCAGACAGCGTGCAAGGACCGAGCGGAGGCACTGCCGGTGGGAAATGGCGCGCTGCCAGCCAAGACCCTGTTCCCAGGCTAAGCCGTTGCTGGAGGAAGGAGGACGGGCATCCCAAAAGCCCGACATCAGAAACGGCCTGGCCCAGCCCCCACCTTCCTTCCCAGAGACAAGCAGGATCGTCAACCAACTCAGCCTCGGAGCATGGAGAAACCCCTCTGAACACACTGGGAGCCTCTCCCCACACTTCTCCTGGGGCCACACCCCCAGCAGCTGAGTCCAGCTCCTAGCAACAGAGGTGGGGAGGGGCTAGAGGGGCCTCAGGTACACACCCCACACGGGCCCTCTCCCTCCTGAGCAGTGCTGGCTCCGGGGGTTTCCGCGAGGGCCCGTGGCTGATGAACTACACAGCGCTCCCCGCTCAGCTAGCGCCCACTCACACGTAGACGTCCCCCTCCACATCGCCAGCGGCCAGGATGTCCTGGCTGGGGTGGAAGGCAATGGTGTTGGCAGCAGCTTCAAAGGAGATGTCCTCTGGGGTGTCTCGGAGCCTGGGCTCTGGCTCTGGCTCCGGCTCCTCCTCTGGATCTGCCTTTGTGGGATCGGGATACAGGAAAGGTCAGCACCGAGGGGCTCACTGCCCCAAACGCAGACGGGCCGCCAATAGGGCTTGTGATTCCCCACTACTGAACCCTCCCCACCTACAAGGGGACACCAGCAGAGCCCCCCACTGCCCGTCCGACATGCACCCACAGGGGGGCCCACCTGCATGTGCCCTGCGTCCTCCTCCACGTCCGCCTCCAGCTCCTGAGACGCTTCCTAGGCAGGGGGAGAACGAGACCATCGGATTTAAATGGGAGGAGGAGCACCCTGGGGAGCCAGTTCCAGGCGATGTGGCCTCCACCCAGCTGCCACCAAAGACACCCACTGCAGGCAATGCACCTACTCCAGCCCCACCAGACACGTCCCTTAGGCCCGGAGCTGGGAGATGCCATGTGGCTATTTCCTGCGATAGCCTGGAAAACCCTTAGTGAACGACGGATCTTTGGAGGCCACCGGAACATGCCAAGGTGGGGTGTTCTCATGGGCCGGGCTCCTAGGCGGCCCCTTTGCGGGAGATGGGATGGGGGCCTTGGGAAGTGTCCGGAACGACAAAAAACTAACCGAATACTGGGCCTGGCATGGGCTCTTGGAGCGTATCAAAGGGGGAATTTCTAGCAAGTCCTCCCCCCGTTAAGGGAAAGCCCTGTGAAGCGATATCCTCGGCCGAAGCCGTTCTGAACGGATAGCCACCGAAAACCCCCTTTGTGGGTCTGAAGGACTGACTTCGTCAGAGCCCTGTTGGAGCGAGGGGGCAAGCTCTGGAGCACGGCTACGCTGATTACTTTCAGGAATAACGGCGTTGCGCAAGAGGGGTTTTCTTCCGCAAGAAGGGGCCGTGTAGATCCTCCTTGTGGCGCAAGAGCCTCTTCTGCAAAAATGGCGGCTCATTCGATATGCAAATGAGGCTCAGTGATATTCCACGCTTAGCCTCATTTGCAAATCTCTGGCGCAAGATGGCGCCAGTGTAGACACAGCCCTTCTGTTATAAAAATGGAACGAGTGGCACAGCCCTTCTCTTTCCTGGGGACAGAGCCTTAGGCCTCTTCCACATACAGACGCTGGAGTGGTGTAACTACAGCTGGGGAAGAGGAGCGTGGTTTAACCAGGGTTCTCCTGCTCCCTGTGGCCACGAAGGGCTTTGCTGGGATGTAAGTGAATCCACTGAAAGCCGCCCCCGTTCTAGACTGGCGCACGTTTGGAGCGGAGGATGAACCGAGTGGATCCAGACGGGCCGG